TGTGGGGGACTGTGCAGGGGGGCTGCTCAGAAGGGGTGGGTCTCCTTCCCCCTGCAGGGTGCAGCCCCGCTGCACAGCTCACAGACTACCCCCACAGGGCTAGGGTATTAGAAACCAGGCACACGCAGACCTAAGTTACCAGCAAGCATAGGCTCAGTGATGATCCTCACCCTTCCATGCCCATGGGTTGGGAATTGGGCAGGGAAAATGTCCACATGTGAGCTTCCCACATCTCATCAGGACTACAACAGCCAGTCTCCAGTGTCATCTAACTTGCAACATTTAACCGCTTGTACCTGGGGCTGGGACACTTAACAAACATGTTGGACGAGAGGGTCCCTACTCCAAAGAATTGATAGACAAAGTTGTTTTCTCTAAATATATTACTCTGTCAACCTACTCTTCACACAGGTGATGCAGCCAACCTACATCACCATTAAGAACACAGGACTTGCTACACAGGATTTGGACACAAGGCCTATTCATCCAGGTATCCTCTCTGACTATGGCCAATATTAGATGCTCCAGAAAAAGGTTTAAGAAGTCTGTACTAGGCAAATGTCTGACAGCATGCCCCATAGAGGTCTGCTACTAGTCTCCAGTAGTTAGAGAATGGTTTAAACCCTGAATCATAAGGTTTAATACTGATGTTAACAGAAGCAGTTGTGCTAGATTCAGTACAAACACACAAAATTGATGCGCTTTGCTTATAAACTATGCATAAGACAAGAGGCAACAGGAAGATACAGATGGGGGACTAAAAGGCAACACTGAGATAATACTGGTCAGCATGACAGACAACACAGCCCAAACACCAGATGTCTAAATCATTATCAAGCTGGTTGTAGGCACTGCAGAAAAATAATTATTAATTATAACTCTGGATACTCATCAGTAACCAAAACACTCTTCTATTTCTATTTACCATTACTATTTATCTATTAGATAAATCACTCCTTAGGTTCAAACTTCTCTGACCCCCTAAAAACAAAGTAAACTTCCATCATTGGTTAGTGGGAAAAAAAGTAACCCCAGAACAACCGTTTGCTTAGTTGCCATTTTAAAACTATCAGAACTTATGCTATAGCCAAATATGGGGCTTTTGGAGGTAAGGTATACACACCGACTTAAGAAAAATCTGTTCAATAACAGAAGTGCATTAAATGAATGAAGATTCTTATGCTTGCTAAACTTGGAGATTTATTTGAGTTTTCTCAAGAAGAGCTAACTATGCACAAATAAAGTATGGATGCTTCCAGTCACATCTAGCATTTATTCATCTATCAAGAATATAGCCAAGGAAGCACATTCAGATCAGCGCATCTTCTGTTCCCTTAAAATGCAAATCAGGCAATTGCTTCTGTTCCAGCTGTCAAGCCATTTAATAGACCTTTGCATGATCTTCACAGAAAACAACAATTGCTCTGTTTGCCAACAACAGTGACAGCATCACCAGGTTTGAACAGGGAACATGAGTGTTGAATCGAGTGCCCTCAGGACTTTTTCACCATGCGTACCAATTCTAGTCCTGTGCGACACATGCCATTGCCTTGTGCGGTGTTTAAAGGAAAGTACTGACTTTCAGTGGGGAAGAAGAACTATTATTATTTCTTGTTGGTTTTCTATTCGTAGCAAGATATACTTGCTTCTGTTCCATTCAAAGACATTAAGTACATAATTAATTGGAACATGCTTTGCTCACTTGATTGTAGATCTCTGTAGGACATTTTAAAAGTTGATTTTCAAGTGCCAGAAAATTTAAGGATTTGTATGAAGTTTCGTAAAAGATTATTTACATAATCAGTTCCTTGGAGCAGACACAGAGAGACGACTTCAGTGGCTGTGAATCAGCACAGCTTCACTGAAGTTGTGGGGAGCGGTGGGGGGCGGGGGTTGACTTAAAACATCTGAGGATCTGGTCCTGCTTTGAGAAGCAGCCAGGATGCGACAAAAGCTTAAAAGTAATAATCAACTTCTTTCAACCCACAAACCCCCAATGTAATCTTTCTACTTTGTTCCCAACAAATAACTTCAAATTCTGTATTTATCTTTTCCAACCTGTGTTTCTTTCTTCGGTGGGGGTGAGGGATGTATGGGGGGGGGTAAGTGTTTGCACACATGTAGAAGCAAGTATATGAACAGTCTTACATCAGCACATGCAGAGAACAGGCTCTTTTCCCCAATGTATGCCATATGTTTAACAGAGTCCTCCTCAACCCACTTACATTCAACAGATGTGAGAATCAAGGTCTCTGTTCTCATTTAAATCAGCAGAATCTGGTGCTGTCACAACAGTTTCCAGGATTGCAAGATCCAGGTTCAGTTTGGGATGCTCGGTAACCTAGATTTGTTTCTACAGCATGATTAAGCATTTTTGAAGATGCTCGGAGATCTGAATGGTAATTGATGTTTTGCGGGCATTGACCCGAAATGAAAATATTTCTATTTTCTTACAACAAAATGGTTTCATACCTAAAAGAAAAAAGCATCTTATTCCTTCTTTTCATTGTAAACCTTCCTCTAAAGCTCAGCTAAATTTGATCTTGTAATATCATTTTAAAGAGACAAAAATGGAAGCATTTTATTTCAAACTTAAATGTTTCATTTTTCCCCATTTTTTTTTCCTATTTCACCTATTTTTTCCCCATTTGACGCATATTTGCAAATAGCTTTTTATAGATCCAAAACTGATATTTAATTCACTGAAAAATGTAATCTGAAGCATTCCTCTTGGTTTAACACGCTTTTTTATTTCACATTTATTTTCATGTTCATGCCCCCTTTGCTTTATTCAATTTCTGATGGGCATGGACATGCCAAAATTCAAGTCTCAGAAAGCCACTGTTGTTCTACTGTCTACTTCTACAACATACAGGAAAGCCCAGAAACCTCAAGAAGAAAATGCTGTTTCCTGAGGATTTTTTTTGCATGTTACAGAGAATACTCTTCTAGAAAACAGACTGGCAAAGTCTGTTCATTACAGCAGGCTGCTCACTAGACTTCAGAAAAAGCAGACGATGCTGATTTGTTACACTGGCAGCAAACCCATGAAAGAAACCTCATTAAATATTCAAGTTGGCTTTATGAGCCTTGATTCGAGTTTTGATTGTTATAGTGATTTTATGTACATCTTTGGCATGAGTAACATACCTGGAATTTGGATTGAAATTACAGTCATAAACTATAAGTATTTACTACTATTTCATTGCATCTGCCACCTCATAAACAGGACTACCTTGACCTGAATGAAGCCTCTCTTATGTTTAGAGGTTAGAATTGTATCCAAGAGAAATAATGGGCACATGCCCATGAATTTTTCTATAATTTATGTAACAATAGGAAATCCAATCTCACTGTCTGGATGGGGCTTTGTCTTCAATAACAAAGACACCATCCGCCTCTAAGAATTAGCTCAAACTTCACACTAGTGTGGCTATTCAAGGGGTTTATTAGTCAAGCCTGCTCAGCCCACACCCCAGACCCTCCTCCATCCAGGCAGCCTCTCCCACCTCTTTCATATCCAAGTTGGCAGTGATGCCTGCATGAGTTGGCAGAACTCACTTGGCCTTTGCCCAGCAGGGTCACTGTCTATTACGCAGGATACGGTGTTTCTGGATATAATAGAACAGCAGTATTTGCCTGAGTTTGGGAGAGAATAAAAGCCCTACTGACTCAGGACCCATGGAAAAATAATGACGGATAGTAGGAAAGGTTATACCATACCTGTCTGGTGCCCCACTGTCATAATGCTGGATTGGATGTGGGCAGGGTTACCTTATGTGTAGAGGCACTAGTCAGAAATTCCCATGGTCGACTGGCAAATCACTTTACCTCCCTGTATCTCTGTTTCATACCCTACCATTTTTGTCTTTGCACATAGGCATATCAGGGGACCCAAAAGGCTGCATAGGAAACCTAGAATCTGACATTGCCTCATTCAAGAGGCTTGAGTTATACTCCTGGATGTACGCTGATTTGTTGGGTAATCTGCAGTTAGTCTCCTTGTCTTGAAAAAGAACGTGCAAAACACTAACATTCTCGGTAAAGTGCTCTCGTGGATAAATGTAAAGATCCCTGTACTCCCATTAAAACAGGGGTGGGAAAGATGCAGCCTACGGGCCAGATGCGGCCTGCCAAGCCGTTCTATCTGGCCCGCAGGGTCCCTAACAAATTTAGAAAATTAATATTAATCTGCCCTGGGTTGCCTGTCCTGAGGCCCTTGACGGCTTGCCAAAACTCAGTAAGCGGCCCCCTGCCCAAAATAATTGCCCACCCCTGCATTAGAGCACGTATAAGTCTGGTCCAGTGTGGATATCGACGGCAGCACTGGGAGGGGAGGCCAGGAGGGCTACCGTGAATTTTGGGGTGGCTGCTGGCCCCCCACCCCAGGCCTATCCCAGCACCATCACTGCCCCTGGGAAGAGCCCAGCATGGCTGGGGCCCCAACCCACAGCACCAGCCTGCCCTGCCCCACGCAGATCCAGGGGCAAGTACCCCGCTGTGCCTCCCGGGGTTCATGCAGCAGCAGAAGCTACACCCCCCAGACGAGCCGCTTGTGGCTCGGTCCCGCACCCCGCCGGCTGTGCAGCGCCTGCCCTCCCCTAGCCCCAGCCCCACTCCCTGACCCTGCTGCAGATGCCAGAAGCCTTGTGGCCCTACCGCTGCCCAGTGTTGGTGGAGGTGGGGGGGATAAGCCAGTTAGCCTCCCCTTCTGCTGCCTATGGTAGACATTCATATGTTTCTGTGCGTTTGGGGGAAGGGAAGAGTAACAAGGGGTAAAATTAAGGTTGCTGCAGCCATAGCACCAATTACAATTTACCAAGCATTTATTCACCTGGTAAAAATACATAGCACTAATTACTATGAATCTTAAATAGAACAGTTTCCATTTAATCTCACAAAGGTTAAGTAAAATCCCCATGTAATATAACATTTTCTACGAACTAAACTAAAGCTCTACAAATTGCTAATTTTTTTTAAAGAGTTAAACCCATGGACCAAATAATCATCTCTTTTATACAAACCAAAACTAAAGCTGACAGGATGCTGTTAGCCACAGGGAAGCATGCACACATACTATTTGTTTCAGGAAAAGGCCCCTGAAGTATTAAAAGGGAATTAAAATTATTCACAGGCTCTGATGCTTGCAGTGTGTTGCTACTGTGTGTCGGTTGCATTTCATCAGCATCCCTAACTGAGCTGTGTACCCTTAGGAGAGCTTGTGACTAAAGGGGCTAGCAAATGGGCAAACAGCTGATTCTCATGCGGGCCACAATCAAGCCACCAGCACATTCTGTGAACAGTGATGAGCCGAGGCAATCACCCGACCATCTCAGCACCGAAATTACGGTGTATTTCTGATGTTGTGGCTGCAGAAACAAACAGCTGTATCTAAAAAGTTGCTGCGGATAACCATGTTTTGTGTCACCAATCAACGTCAACTTTGAGAACAGGACAAGTGGGTACATACAGCCTTGCAATGGGCCATGTGGCCCACTGCTTTCTGCCGGGCAGACGCCAAACCGCATGCAGCTATGGCAGACTTCTGACGGGCAACATGGTCCAATATGTAACCAGCCACTCGAGCACCAGGAGTACTAGAAGGTATTTCTGACTCAGCTACATACAGACTTTGGGCAAATCCTATCAGCTCCATGTGTTTCCATCCCTTGTCTCTCCCTGTATGTTGCCCCAAGGAGTCCTTTTACCAGAGGCCCCCAAGGATTGACACGGCCCCTCGTCTGATTTGGTATCAAGTGAACTTTATTCAGTAACCCCTAGGCTCATTACAAGTAATAGGACCTGACAAGCGGTTCCTTAGATGTTACAGCAGTGACCTTCGGTGGTACCAGCCTCAGATCCTCTGCTGGGCGTGTGGGATGTTAGTTTCTGGATTCCTCCTTGTTCAAACAAGAAGTCCAAGGTTGCTCCCGTCTCCCCAGGGTGGCAACATAAACACACGCTGTCTCTATGTCCGTCCACTACTTTTGTAACTTTCTCATCCCAAACTGTCCAATCCTCATGTTTCCTACCTCCTCTTTTTAGGTAAGGTACTCCAATCCTATTCCATTTTTGGTTTTCTTTCCTTTTAGAGAAACTACTGTACTTGGTTAGCCCACCATACCAAAATCACAGTACTCATTTTTCCCGGTGCCTTATAAGGCACTCTGTACAATTTAATTGCTTAAATTCGGGAAGGCCTAAGGTTATGCTAAGAGCCTGAGTATAACTCAGTTTGCCCATTACACTGTACATGTCCCAAAATGAGGTTACATAAGAGAAATCCTAGCATTTCCTAATATTTACATGCTTGACTGTGCAACTGTAATAATGTGTGTGTGTGAATGTGCACACACTCACACATGTATATGGATCTGTGTGTAAGAGATAAATAGCACCAGTGCAACACGAATTATCAAAGAGGCTAAACCTTCTTAGCATTGTCATTCTGAAATCATTTCCCTTCAGGCCTGCCTTTTATACCAGAGCAGATTTTTGTCCCCCCATCTCCCATCTATGAATAAATCATGGCAGCAGATTCATATCTAATCATCCCAGGATATTATTGCTCTTTTGTAAAATGATCTGCAATACAGAGTAATAAAAAAAAAAAAAAAAAAAGTTGCAAACCTAAATTGCACTCATTAGGCTGAGTCAACACAATGCACGTTAAGGTTACAAAATGCTCTTTAATATAATATAATCTCATGTTTTAATGAGTCTTTATTGATAAAGGAGTTTTGTTTGTTTGTTTTCTTGTATTAAAATGCAGCCCTACTGCCATACTGCTCCAGCCTTCACTCAGAGATGCATCACAATTAAAAGGCTCTGCTCCTTGAGGACCAATTTAAAATCCATTTTCGTGAAAGGCCCCCACTGACTTGATCAACTTTTGACATAGCATCTGAATTTTGACTCTAAAGAGATCACTACCAGAGGCAGTCTTATGGGTTTGTTTGGGGCGTACAATTAACTTGGGCTCTAACCTAGGTTTTTACCTTAACCTATCCCAGCCATCTACAGAGAAAAAAAGATCCATGATTTTTTTCTGATGGAGCTTTATGTGCAGTTTAGTTAGCACAGCCGGAAGCCAAAGCTAGCATGTTTGCTAAGGCTGGAAATACAGAAACAGTGAGGAGAGAGCAACAGTTTTGCAGTGGGAATGTTCATACCCAGGTAAAGCTAAATTAGTTGACCTGTACGGTCTAAACATAACCTAGTCATGAGATGGAACAACCAAGTTCTTCCACACTAATGCATAAAAATCTCCAGGCCCCTTTGATAGAGTTTTCCTCTTGATGATCCCTAAAAGAACAGTATTGTCTTTTGTCCCAGTGAAAAGGAGGTCCCATTGCAAGGCAACTTCAGCCTGGAGTGGTAGACTTGACTCTTACCAAAAGCTGAGTCAGTTTAATTAGTAGCTAATCACACTCAGGACCTAAAAAGACCTACTCCCACTGGAAAAAAGTCTTTCCTTAGACAAGTTGCAAACTATACTGTATGTGCCTTTTAAACTAGACCATAGAAAGCACTCAGGCATGTTTCTAACTTAAATTGACAGAAGGATGGAGTAGATGACCTTAGGGTCCTTTTCCATCTCTTATGATTGCCTTTCCCATTACATTAAGTGCATAAAATTAACAATGAAAACGCAGTTTCCAACTAGAAAGACATTAGTCAATTGTTCTAATTAATACCTGACAGGCTGATATTAATTAATTGGTGACTGATTATACATCTCTTAGGTGTCAAGTCAGTTACTAAATGTTGCATTTAATGTACAAAAAAAGGACGGACTTGTACCTCTATAGCTGATGGTGTGCTAAATTGGTAACACATTAATTGGATTGCTTTAACTTTGAAGAAGTTGTAAAATGTTCAGCTAGTGTTGCTATGCAATGCCAAGTGAATTGATGTCACGTTCCATTCTCATCACAGCCTTTGAACTGTATGGCAGACTACTTTCCCATCCAGAAAAAAAAGCTTTTGTGAATTTGGAGGGGAAATAAAGTGCTCTGAACTTCATCAGGATGAACTCAAGACCTTTCAGCTGTCTTCCTGAAAAGCTAGAAAGAGATACCCCCACCTACGCTAGAAGAGCAAGCTGCTTAGTGATTAAAATACTCAGCTGGGATGTAGGAAACTAAATCGTCTGAAGGAGGAGGGACAAAGACTTCCAGGAGCTTAGCCCTGGACAAACCCAGAGTAAAGACCCTTGTGCCACAGATCCCAAAGAACTTCAAATCTACAGTCAACTCAAACAAACACTGGCAAAGAAGGTAGGGCTGTTCTCTCCTTTTTAATCATTGGCAACCTACACAGAGAGACGCAAAGACTCAGCTCTTCCAACGCATTAATTCTCCTCATTTCTAACTAAGATCAGTGAAAACTACCTGTGCTCAACACTTGGGGGGAAAAAAGAAAAACAAGTCACAAGTGACATTCAAACAGCTTATGACAGAGCAAGGAACTCCTTCTCTTGATGCCCCAAAGCGGTGCATGAACAATAAATACACTATCCTTCCTTTCTCTTGGCCATAGAAGAAAGCTATTCCAAGAGGCATCTGAGCACTATGATTTTTCTCATATAAAGGTAAAGGAGTTTATACAACATAAAGCAGCTAAACGTGTGGGTGAACAAGAAATGGCTTATACGTGGCAATAAGTCTAAAGGCCAATTGCTTTGTTCTTTAAAAAAAACCAAAAAAAAACGAAAAAAGTAATGTTGTTATTTGACCTTTCATGATCATACGATGGGTCTGGCCTACAAATTAGACTGTTGTTCACTTCATTTGAATATGGCCTTTTGCACCTGCGGAATATGAAGGGAACTAAATGCTAGGAGCTCGCCCTCCTACCTACCCTAACAGATGTTCAAAAGAAGCAGATTTCCATGTTCAAAAGAAGCAGATTTCCTTTCTCTTTTCTCTTTCTTTCTCTTTTTATCAAAAAAGGTCATACATAGATGAGAATTTGGCTAATTTACATTTGTTTGTCATGAAAGCAACTCTCAAATGGATATAAACACATTTCACAGTAGCACCTAGATTTAACCTTCAAATGCCCCATTATTTATTTGGGATATCCCCCCCCAACACACACACCAATTTCCTTTCGATAGTATTTTTGTGAGTCTTGGCTAGTAAGAAAGCATCCAACAATGTGAATTTGCAATCACAATTCTGCCTATGAATATACATGACACATTTAACTCTTGCTGGCAACACGATTTTGCCAGCTGACCTTCTCAACAAAGCTCTGAGGAATTATTCCCCCTATCCCTCTTGTCTTTGTAAATAGCAATATAACTCAGGCTTTTGGAGCTGCATCTTCTCATCTGAAATATTTATAATCCCTCTGATTTGGAGCCTTCTTTCTTTTGTACTGGAGCATCAACGCATGAGCGGATCAACAGAGACAAGGAAATCTATGTAAAGCAAAGCTGAGTTGTACTCCCAGGAAACATTTGATCTTATTCACCTCCTATTTAAGGAGAAACAGCTCTAGAGAAGGGTAGAAATATTTCATTCACAAGACTTTTTCACTATGAAAAATGAAGGGAAGTTGCATGTTATTTCATTTTCATCAAAAAAAGATCCTAACACGTGACTCACATGGCTGAATTTTCAATAGGACTCTGGTCCAAGTTGGATCATGGTGTGAGCTAGCATTTGTGTACACAAATAAAAGATATATCCAATGGCCAGTTAAAAAATTAATTCTGCAGTATCCTAACACACTTGGTTTGACTGATGTTGCAACAACGTCAAAACAAGCCATCCAGCCTGAACTCAGCTAACTGCCTTCAAAAATTTCATTCAGCCATTTGGTTCATTGTATAAGAAGTAAGAACTTCAGCCATCTCCAAAAGTCCAATCAGATGAATGCAATTTACAGTGTTTCTATAAGGTCACCATAGTTGAGCTATTCTAAACCCAAGTGGCTGAACAAGTTATGAAGCGATGACTCTACCAGTGTAATCCATCGTTGAGTTCATGTTATAAATCTCCCTCTGTGCCAAACCAAACAATCAGAGTCACTAGCTCTAGAGACCTTACATCTTCTCACTCAAGCTGATGCAGCTCAAACTACAGCTGCTGTAGGCACTGTTACGGCACCCCGACACTAGGGTGCCTGTACACGAGCCCGGAGGTTGCTCCAACGCACTGTAATTACAACGTGGCAGAGCAGACTCAATTAATCAATTCTGCTGGAGTGTGGTAATTACTGTGCTTCAGCCAGCCTCTGTATCTCAGGTATCAGTGTCCCCGTGCTTCAAAATGGTGGTAGAGGTGCTTTAACTAAAGCTCATTTGACATATTAAAAAAGTGTAAAAAAAAAATAAAAGTGATTGGGAACAGTAATTGTCTATTTGCATTGAGCAAATAATGATCCCCAGATA